CGAGGGCGCGGGGCAGGGCGCGGACGCCGGGAAGCGGGCAGGAGCGGGACCCTGGACTTCTCCCGCCGTTATGCTCCAGCCTGCCTCTCCCCAGGGCAGGGTTCGCTGCCTGCCCCCCACTCTCCTCTTTTGTCTCCCCAGGACAGTACGAGTCTACAAGGGCAACAAGAGCTTCGGCTTCACGCTGCGTGGGCATGGGCCCGTCTGGATCGAGTCTGTCCTCCCCGGTAAGAGGCGGGCTCGTTATAGTAAAAGTCCCTAAGGCCCAGGATGGCTGGAAGGACCTTGCGAGCGGCTACTTAGCAACCACCTTCCCTCCAGCCAACCTGAGTGCCACAGAGGAGCAGGTCTGAATCATCCATCGACCTGGGTGGGGCGAAGCCTGCCAAGAGGGTCACCCATGAGCTAATGCCCTGAGGTCTTCACCCGCATCTTCCCTGTGTTCACAGGGAGGAGCCATGACTTCGGGGATGCTGGAGCATCCAGCCTGTGCCCCAAGCAATGTTCCTTGAGCCAACTGCCCACTGTGCACGGGCTCCTTGCCAGGCCAGCCCAGAGGGGCAAGAGGGCCTCAGGACTGCCCCCCCAGAGGCCCCTTACTTAGCCCCACCCATCTGAACTCCCTCCTCCTCCTACCCTGCTTGCTCCTTAAATGGCAACCCCTGGAGTCTCACACCTCTGTAGGGGTTCCTCCTTCTGCACAGCCTGCAGAGGGGGCGGTGGGGTAAAGAGGAAGGCCCACGCCTCACTGAGGCCGCCCATCAAGGAGAGCATGGAGCGGGAGTCTCCGGGTGATGACAGGTCGGGGTCACTCGCACCCAGCTCCACCAGGTCCTAAGCTGATGCTCTCGGTGCCACATCCCCACCAGTGTGACCCACCCCTGCTGATGCTGTGTCCTTTCTGCCCTGGTGTCACGTCCCCCCGGGAAGTGCTCAGAGTCTTCGCATCACTGTCCTGGCCACCAGCTTCTTCTAGGCTGAATCTGAACATCTTCCAGCTCATCTCAGACTTGTTCTTCACTGAGTTGTTGCCATATTGTTGGGGAGAGGCCAGAAGGCTGCTTCGGCCATGTTGTCCATACCTCACCCTCCCTCTCCCTGCCTCTTCATGAAAGAGACTTGGCCTAGGGCCATGTCAAAATCCAGGGTGCTGTTCTCCTCAGCCACGTCTTTAAACTGGCAACCCCATGCCTTCCTTCATAGAAAGTCAAATGAATGCGTTAATGAGAGCTTTTACAGATGGGGAAACTGAGGCTTAGAGAGCTGCTGGCAAATCAAGGGGCAGAACCTGGGGTTTCCCAACTCCCAACCGTGTGTCCTTAAATCCCTTGCTACACCCCTCTGACTCCCCTCCCAGGCTGGCCCAGGCTTCATGGCAGGCCAGGTTGGATTCGGTACCAACACCCTCACCTTATTTTCAGTCCCAGAGAAAGGACTTTTCCTGGTCATTCCCTTTCTCAAGACTTTCCTCACAGCCTCAAGAGAAGACTGCTCCCACTCTAAGTGTATATTTTATGTACGCACGTATCATTCCCCGCCACTTGAGTCTGAATTAAACTATCCATAGACACAAACTTAGCAGACCCCCTCCCTTCCCTGGCTGAGTTAGGTCTCCCCTTGGGAGTCGTCAAGCCAGAGTGAGAATTAGCTGCCCCCCTCTGTTAAAATGAGCAGGGGCACAGGGTGCCACCCAGGGCCAAGGCAGCACCAGGGTCAGGCAGGCAGAGGGAGTGAGGAGAACTCGGGGACAAGAGTGGTTTTTGTGGGAAGGGCTGGCTGAGGCAGGGGAAGCAGGCTGAACAGGGATCGGATTGGCTCGTTTGAGTAAGTTCCAAGAGGGGGCACGGGGTTGTCCCTAGTTGGCTGTGCCTGGCTCTGGGTGACTAGGGCAGGGAGTTGTGACCCAGGGTGTGAGACCCCATAGAGGAGGGGGCTGATGGTGGTCCGGATTAGTTGGTTTGACATGAAAGGCATGCTTGCACACCAACCCGTGACCAGCTCTGGGATTGACTGATCCTGGACGAGACTCCTCCCAGTGTTAGCGAGGCCCAAGAGGTCAAAGCTCCAGAAGCCCAGGAAATAAAAGGCATGATTAATACGCTGTGCTTCCAGCCTGAAGCAGGAGCCAGCCACCCTCTAGGCAGACACATTACGTCCCTGGCAACGAAACCACACAGGAATGGTGTGTGATGCGACCTGTACGAGGGTCAGGACAGAATCTGGAGCAGGGTCCTCTGCAGGATGGACAGATGCTGCAGAAATTGGCTCAGTTCCCGGCCATGTCTCTGCTCTTCTCCAGCAGCTCAGACTGCCCACCTTATGCCCCGAGCCCGGGGGCCCCCAAGCCCCAACCACAGGTCCCGCCCTTCGGAGAGCAGCTGAGGTCGGAGGCCTTGGGTCTGATGGGGGATCTGTGACTTGATGTGGCTCTCTTCTCTGCGCACCCCATTTCACACTGAGAGCAGGCTGCTGCCCACTGACCAGCATGCCCTTCCTTTCCTGTTTGCAGGGAGCCCTGCTGACAATGCTTCCCTCAAGTCAGGCGACAGGATCCTCTTCCTCAACGGACTGGACATGAGGTCAGAGGCTACTGGGGATACCAGGGCTTGGGGATGACCTGTCCCCCAAGACTCCTGCCTTTTGGGACATTCAGGCCATGGTCTTAACCCTCTCTGACCAGTTGGTACCCAGGGTCTATCCCATGTCCTATATGAGCTCTTAAATCTGTCGTCCCACCCAGCCCGGGTGTCAATTCGTCCTTCCAGCCAGTGACACCATGCTGGGAACAGAGTCGAATGGCCCATTTATATCTTGCCTAGGAACCCCACCAGGGTGACATGGGCACAGCCCAGAGTGCCCAGCTGGGTCTGGGCCTGGGGCTTCTCCTACAAAAATTAGGAGGCAGGAGTGGCAGGGCCTGGGGTCCTGATTCTGGCCCAGCTGTGGACTATGCTCTGGCCTCTGGGGCAGGGCAGGGAGGTGTGTGGGTGGTTGTGGACAGAGCTCATCCAGGTCAGGCCCTCCTGGGCCGTCTCTACTTGGCAGGAACTGCTCCCATGACAAGGTGGTGTCCATGCTGCAGGGCAGTGGTGCAATGCCCACATTGGTGGTGGAGGAGGGGCTCGTCTCGTTCGCCAGCGGTGAGACCCTGCTCCCCCCGGCCACTTGGCTGCCTTGGCCCCCAAAAACCCTGTTGGGGCTGCCATGTGTGGGATTTCTGAGTCTTCAGAGGACTCTGCTTTCTCCCCAAGCCTTCCCTCCCCAGGTGTTACTGGGGCAGAGCCTAAGGGGGCATCAGGAGCCCCACCCTGACGCACCCTCCATCCATCTCCCCAGCCAGAGGCAGCAGGTGTGCTTCCCAGGGCACAGCTCTGTGTGGCCACACCCCAGCTTAGGAGGACACTTGGCCTAGGACATGGGTCACTCGTGTCTGTCCTACCTGTGGCCCTGCAGACTCTGATTCCCTGGACTCCCCCAACCCATCGTCGGCGCTCACCTCCCTGCAGTGGGTAGCGGACATCCTGCCATCCAGCATCCGGGTCCAGGGGAGGACTTTCAGCCAGCAGCTGGAGCACCTGCTCACTCCTCCTGAGCGCTATGGGGTCTGCAGGGCCCTGGAGAGTTTCTTCCAGCACAGGTGATTGGGCCAGAGTGGTGGTGGGCACCTGCCCTAGGTGGGCTGCCATCCTATGCAGACACACCAGCAGGTCTCCCTGACTGCACCGCTCCCACCTGGGGGGGAGGGGCACAAAGAGGCAACACAGGTACCAGGGGCTGAGGGCAACACTGGTACCAGGGGCCGGCAGGGCGGGGACCTCTGGGCTCCCTAGAATAAGCAACTCTGAAACTTAGCCATGGGACCCAGGCCAGCCACGGCCTTCTCTGTAAAGGGAAGCAGGCAGTCACCACCAGTGTGGTTGCTGGGACTGACCCCACAAGACACTGTTGGGGTTGGCTTGGTGTCTTTCTGTGACAGCATCCAGTGTTTGTAACACTCCTTGGCCCATAAGGTGAGTCCTTGTCTGTGCAAGGCCCCTCATTTATTCGTTTCCTATTTTTCTTTTGTTCTAGCATACTGAGTGAGATATAATTCACATGCCATACCACCCATCCGTTTAAGAATGGCTTTTAGAATATTCACCCGTATGTGCTGCCATCACAACATTCAATTTTAGAAACCTTCATCATTTCAAAAAGAAATGTGCACCCTTTCCCTGTCCATGGTCCTGTCCCTTCCTTGCCCACCCCCAATCTTAAATAATTGCTAATCTGCCTCTTATTTTATTAGGTTCTCCTGTTCTGGACTTTCATATGAATGGAATAATAATTTGGGGAGAAGATTTTATTTATTTATGCATACAGAACTGGAGTACAGGCCAGAGGTGCAGGGGCAGTGAGAGAATTCACTAGAGACAGAGTGGGGAGCAGAACAGGTCGGTCTATGACGTATACTGCTGAGGGGATCGGTGGGCGAGGCAGAGGTCTGCCATACCATGAGGGTCACCTCCAGGGCGGGGGATCGAACCCGCACCGAAGTGGCCACAGCCAGCTTCGCAGTGCTGCGCTCCAACCCGCTGCACCACCAGGGAGGTCCCAAATCATAGTTTTTTTAATGTCTGACTTTTTTCACTTCTATTTTCAAAGCACAACCAAGAACATCTACTTAATCCCTTTTAATGGTCAAATAATATTCCACCAGGTGGCTAGAACACAATTTGTTTATCCATTCAGCAGTTGATGGATTTTTGGGCATTTCCCCCCTTTCATTCTCCCTGGACCCCACTCTCTCCCAGAGCCCTCCCTAGCCAATGCCACCAGCCTGATGAGTTGAAGGGGTATCCTTTTGGTGGAAGGTATTCTTGAAAAGTGGGCATTGCTACTTAGTATGACTTATTTTTCTTTTATATCCTCATTGTGGTAACAGCTCATGTGTGTCTGACTCTCAGCAAGCTCTCTCTGTTTAGATCTGTCCACACTGTTCTCTGTAATTTGAATACACTGGTTGCAACTGCAGCCAAGTTCCGGTCAATGGCAGCCACCCTGTCCTCTCTGCAGTCATGCCTTGTCTTGCTGGGCTGTGCTTTGTCACTCCACACATACTGTGGTCTTGTATTTTTGCGAACTGAAGGTTTGAACCCCCAGCATTAGGCAAATCGCTCAGCGCCCACTTCCCAGCGGTACATGATCACCTTGCAGCTCTGTCACACTCAGGGACGATATGGACAATGTTCATCTACACATAAGGTCACTGCACCACTCATAGACCACAGTCTAGTGTGAGCATAATTTTATATTTGTGGAGAAACTGAAAAACACCCGGTGATCTGCTTTGTCATGATATCTGCTTGATGGCAGTGATGGGGAGCAGAGCCCTGACATCTCCACGTGTGCTGTTTACCCTCCCCGGGGACCCAGGTGACCGGCACGCTCCCGTCACAGCCGTCCTGTGAGCGCATCCTCGCACACACGCCCGGAACTGGTCGCAGTTCATCTGAAGGGCTGCCTCGCCAGAGGTTACACAGAGGCTTACTTGCTCTGACCAGGGTGTCCCAGGTTGCTTCCCAGAGCAAGGATTTCACTCCCTGGAGCCAGCTCACGGCTCCCTCCTCTCCATGTCCTCACCAACATTTGTCACTTTTTAGCTTTTACTTTTGCTAGTCTTCTGTTCATAAAGTGATATCTTATTCTTTTAATGTTGACTTTTTATTACTAATTATTTTAAGTATCTTTAGCCTTTTCTGTCTTTGTTTGCTAATTAGCTGTTCAGAGCTTTTGTCCCTTTTTGGTTTTTTGGTTTTTGTTCTTATTGGTTTGCTGGAGCACCTTGTTTATCTTACATCCTGACTCCTTGTTGATTTTAGATGTGATCAATTTAAACATTTTAGACATGATCAATATCTTTTCCCATTTGTTACTTCTATTCTTTTTCTCTTGATGTCTACATGCCCAAGTTGTGCTTCTGTGAACAGAGAGCCTTGATTATGTAAAATCAGATTCAGTAACTTCGGGGCTTTTTTTTTTGGGTTTGTTTTTGCAAAGGATAAGTGGGGTACAGGCCAGAGGCTTGGGGGTGGGGGTGAGAGGATTCATCTGAGATGGTGGGGAGCAGTACAGGCAGATGTCCTGAAACATATACTGCTGAGGGGAGCAGAGGGCAAGACAGGAGAGGTCTGCTGCGCCACGTGGGTCAGCTCCCTGACTGGGGATCGAAATGGACCACAGAAAGGATAGCGCTGAGATTTATTTAACACCTCAGCTGCTAGGGAGGCCCCTACCATTGACAGCTCTTTCTTTTGAGGTTTTGTTTAAGAAGTTGTCCCTGCTCCTAGGTTGAAAGATATTCTCCTATATTATCTTCTGTTGAATTCCTAATTTTACCTTTCACACCTGAAGTTCCTCTTTATGTGTTGTGTTGTGAGGATCCAGCTTTATTTTCCCACATAATGCAAGGATCAGCAAACTATTTCTCTAAAGGGCCAGAAGTAAATATTTTTGGCTTTGCAGAGCAATAAATTCTCTGTTGAAACATTCAACTCTGCTGTTGGAAGTGGAAATCAGCCATAGATAATACATAAACAGCCAACACCATGTATCCTAACCCCCAAGGATTTGGCACCCCTAACCCCCAAGGATTTGGCACCCCTAGCCCCCAAGTTATTGAAGGCTCAACTGTAATGAGTCTGCTTCACCAACATGCTGTGTGTTTTAATCTTCACAATAACTCTGCACAGTAGCTCTGTACTATTCTTATCCCCATCCCACTGACAAGGGAACTGAGACATAAAGAAGGAACTAGAGAAAGTCACTTGGCTAGTAAGAGGCAGAGCTGGAATTGGAATCTGGTCGGCCTTCCTGCCCACCTTTCTGTCCCGGGTGAGGGAGAGCGGGGCTTGAGGCTGCACTCCATGGCCTGAAATTTCCCGGCACCTCTCTTATGCCTTCACCCACCTGCCATGAGCCCATAAAGAGGAAGCCCTTTTCTCCTGCACCTCCACCCCCTCCCCAGGAACATTGATACCCTCATCGTTGATGTCTACCCCGTGCTGGACACACCGGCCAAGCAGGTCCTCTGGCAGTTCATCTACCAGCTGCTGACCTACGAGGAGCAGGAGCTGTGCCAGGAGAAAATCGCGTGCTTCCTGGGCTACACAGCCATGACAGGTGAGCCAGCTTGCCTTCTACTCACTTCCTGGTGAGAGGCCAGACCCCCGTAAAGTATCACAGGTGATGTGGCCCCCCACACAAGGAGATGTACCCCAGTGCCCTGCTAATACCTGTCCATCACACTGAGCCTGGTCCTAGGAGTGACCCCACCTTGACCTTTAAGCAGCTTTAAGCAGTAGCCCCCATAATGGCGTGGGGGTCTGAAGTTTCTCACTTACAAAATGGGGGTGACCTCTGTGGCTGTGCTTTGCTCCTTGGCAAGTGTGCAGTAGATCAAGACACTGTGTGGACATTGTTTATAGGCCTGGATGGATCATGAACACATAGCTGGGTCATACCTGACTCGGGGTGCACAACACAAGCCAGGACCCCCCAGGCCACCTGTAGTCTCAGCCACCTGTTTCTGTGCACCTATCACAGTCTACCCCTTTGCCCACAAACCCCTGTGTTTAGGCCTTGAGAATCAGAAGTGAGCCTAATCCTGTGTGTGTGTTCTAGTCCCGCGGCACCTGCTGTCCCGGCCTGCAGCTCTCCTGAATGCTGGTCCTGTGTGCCCAGACCCTTAGCCCCAGGAATCCACAGTTTGTCAGTGGGGAGATGGAAGATCATAGTAAGAAGCTGAGGGTGTAGGCTCATGTTCTGCACGCCTACCTAGAATTAGAATCTAACATTTTACCCACCAAGTCCCCTGTGGGCAGCATGACAAGTCATTGAGACCTAAAATCATGGGGTCCTAGGCTCTTGTCATGAGAAGAGGCCACATGGCCACCCCTCCCAGGCTCAAACTCCACCACCCCCTGTCCCTCCATTTCCTGGCACCTGGTTACTGTGTCAGGGCGTCCCCTGGAGAGCTCTTCTAGAGTGGGGGTGGAGGCAGAAGGCCATCGGCCGCCCTCCCTATTTGGAGGCTCTTGTCTGGTTGAGAGGATAAAGGGGCCCCCTTCCTTTCCATGTCCCCTCGCAGAGCCTGAGCCTGAGCTGGACCTGGAGCCCGAGCCCGAGCCCGAGCCCGAGCCTGAGCTCCAGCCAAGAAGCTCCCTGAGGGCCTCCTCCATGTGCCGCCGAAGCCTCCACTCCCAAGGCCTGGAGTCCAGCCTCAGCTGTGGTGAGGCTGACAGGAAGGCAGGAGTGGGAGGGCGGTGCTGCCAGGGCTGTGCTTCCCCACCTGCAAAGTGGACGTGGTGACTAGGAAACCCCTGGGAAGTGGGTGACCAGGGCTGCGCTGGGGCCCTCCTGGATCTGCTTCCTGGCACTTTCTGCATGGACCCAGGTGGTCTGAACCTTGGGACTCAGAAATGGCCGCCTCAGAGGTGGCTCTTCGGACACCCCTGCAGGTCCTGCTGACTGCCCCGAGATGCCACTTCCTCTCATCCCAGGCGAGCGCCAGGCGGGCGATGGCACATCCCTCCCGGAGACCCCCAACCCCAAGATGGTGAGACCTCTCGACCCACCTCACGGCTTGGTGGGGGGTAGAGGATGGGAGACCCCTGGGGCAGCGGTGGATCCCAGCCTTCCAGACCACCCAGACTGACCTCCCAGGCCATGCTAAGGACACACGGAGGAAGTGGGGGCCAGCTGAGCTCACTCCCGCCTCCTCTCCCACAGATGTCCGCTGTCTATGCAGAGCTGGAGTCCCGCCTGAGCAGTAGCTTCAAAGGGAAGATGGGGACCACGTCCAGGTCCCACGCCTCCCCTCCAGTGCCCAGCCCAGCAGTCACAGCAGGTAGGGGCTCAGCCAACCCCCGATCCTGAGGGCTACACTGGTCTCTCCTCCTGGCCACCTGTCTGGGTATTAGCTCCGCCTCCAGCTAGAGCACTGGACACACAGCCCTCCCCTGTGCTTCTCTCCATGGCCAAGGGACTGGGCTCCAGCAGTCTCTGGGGCTAGTGGCCACACACATGAGGGGGGTCCAGGATGTGTGTCCTGGGATTCCCGTCCCCGCTGTGGACGTCCCCAAGTTATCCTATGGCTATTGGACAAACTCCCCAGTGTTTGTGTTGCTGTGTGAATGGGACAGCGGGAAAAGGGTGGCTCCTAGGAGGTACATGCCGGTTTCTCTATTGTTCAGGAGGCAGGGACCTGGGGGGATGCTCCCATGAGCCAAGGGCCCAGTGGGGTGAAAGGTGCCTCATGGAAAAGGCCCTCTGCCCTTCCAGTTGCATTTGGTGGGGCCTGGCTGGGACTCTTGTATCCCTTCCAGGATGAACTGGGGTCGGGCCTGTCCTGGGGCTAAGCAGTGCACCCGCTCACACACTCTGACCTTTGATGATCCTCAGGGAAGGACTTGGGGAGGCGAGTCTCCCGGGGTCTCCCTGTGCTGTGTCCAGAGGCGGGGAGGAAGAGTGCCCAGCCTGCCCCGGGCCCTGCCCCTCCAGCCTGCAGTACCTGGATCCAGGTACTGACTGCAGAGAGATCCTCACGCTCCACCCCCCACCCCAGGGCCCAGGACCCTGTCCAACGTCTCCTGGCCCAGCGAGCGGCTCCTGCCCTCTCCCTGCTACTATCCGCTATGCTCAGGGGGCCTGGCCTCCCCCAGCAGCTCCGAGTCCCACCCCTACGCCAGCCTGGACAGCAGCAGGGCGCCCTCCCCCCAGCCAGGCCCAGGGCCCAACCGCTCCGACAGCCCTCCCAGCCCGGACCCTGCCCGCCCACCCAGCCGAAGGAAGCTGTTCACCTTCTCCCGCCCTGTGCGAAGCCGGGATACAGACCGTTTCCTGGATGCACTGAGTGAGCAGCTGGGCCCCCGGGTCACCATCGTGGATGATTTTCTGAGCCCCGAGAATGACTACGAAGAGGTGAGCTTGCAAGCAGGTGTGGAGGGTGAGGGGAGCAGATGTGACGTGTGGGTCTGAGCGTAGCTTCCCAGTCGGCATAGACTGCCCCAGGCCACCCCCCTTCCTGCCTCGGAGCTAGCTCATCCCTTGACTTCAGCTCTTTACTTCTTGCCCCAGGCTACCTCACCCCCTGTTTGAGGCTGTCCTGCCCCTTGCCTGAGGCTACCTCCAGACCTTATGGTAGGCTTCCCTGTTCCTTGTCCCAGTCTACCCTACACAGTCAGGGGTCCTCCTCAGAGCCTCAGGCCAACCCACCAGACTATCCTAACAAGTCCCAGATTATCCCACCCTCCCCTGCAGGGCTCTCCCACTCTCCCATGCCCCATGCTCTAGTCTCCCCGGGCCCAGTTTCACCCTCCCTCCTCCTTGTTCTGTCCCCTCTAGATGAGCTTCCATGATGACCAGGGCAGCTTTGTAACCAATGAGCGGAGCAGCGCTAGCGAGTGTATCAGCAGCAGCGAGGAAGGCAGCTCCCTCACCTACTCGTCCATCTCCGACCACATCCCCCCGCCCCCACTCAGCCCGCCACCCCCGCCACCCCTGCCTTTCCATGACCCCAAACCCAGCTCCCGCAACCCCGACGGTCCCCGTGTCCCCACTCAGATGCTGGCCAAGCCCCTCACCCAACTCAGCCATCCAGTTCCTCCACCACCCCCACCACCTCTACCCCCGCCTGTGCCCTGTGCGCCCCCCATGCTGTCTCGGGGCCTGGGCCACCGCCGAAGCGAGACCAGCCACATGAGCGTCAAGCGCCTGCGATGGGAACAGGTGGAGAATTCAGAAGGCACCATCTGGGGTCAGGTAGGTGTCCTGGGGTCCTGCATCAGACCCTGCATGGGTCCTTAAGCCATCCAGTCTCCCACATGGCTTATTCACAGGAGCTAAGACTGAAGGATTCTTTATTTTACATTTTTTAAAGATTTATTTATTTATTCATACAGAACTGGGGTACAGACCAGAGATGCAGAGGGTGAGAGAATTCACCAGGGACTGAGTGGGGAGCAGAACAGGCAGATCAACTAAGTACACTGCTGAGGGGAGCAGTGGGCGGGTCAGGAGAGGTCTGCTGCACCATGTGGTCACCTCCAGGGCAGCAGGGATCCAACTCATGTGGAAGTGGCTGAAGTTTCTTAGTGCAGTGCTTTAACCTGCTGTGCCACCAGGGAGGGCCTGAAGGATTCTTTATTTAAAGGCAACTGGTCCAAACCTCTGCACACCAGTGTCAACCTTACTATTCTGATGTATGAATTTGTTCTCAAACTACATTGCCAATGCATATTTGAACACCTTCAATGATTAGGTAACTCACTAGCTATCAAGGTATCTCTGTCCTTACTGGACAGTTCTAACCACCACTTTCTTGCATTGCTTTGAAATATTGTCTCCCCAAGTTATCCATGCAGAACAAGCATATTCCCTTTGCCACAGATGGACCAGCCTGTCAGATGAGCAAGACTCATCCCACCCCTATTCTTTAGGTCATCCCCCTAGAGCATGGTTTCTAGTCTTGTTGTTCAGTGATGATACTCTTTGAAAGGGGGAGCTTCATATGGGACTCATAATGGAACCTAAACATTTCAGAGGAGAAATATTTGCCTCCTTTAACCTGGGAGTCATACTCCTTTTGATATGACCTAGAATCCCTCCAGCTTCTTGAATTGCCTAGAGCATGTCCACTATCATCCTTAATTCTAGTCCCTTCATCTGCTTGGGACTGACATCATGTCCTTACTTGTAGCCACACTCTGTTGGGGCATGCTTGTCATTTTTTCCTATTGCCATCTCCTGGGTCTCCATTCTGTCTCCTGCCTTCTCAGCTATTTTGGCATCAGCCCATAACTCCAGAGGAATTTTCCATGTTGCTAATAAAGACAGTCAGCAGGACAAAACCACAAATAGGGACCTACTATGTCCCCTGGAGACTCATTCCTATTAGCCTCAGCTAGGACTTCAAGACTTGCTCTAAAATGTGGTTCTTCCACTGGTTACTGAAGGTGGATACAGGATACATCAGCCCAAGTCCACACCAGGTGTCCTCACCCTGTTGTCCTATTAGGACACTTTGATGCTCTGCCTGCTCTCCTTTTGGGATCTCTTTCTTGGCAACCACCCCACCCTCTTTCCCTGTCCAAGCCCCATATGACCTTTGAGACAGTCCGCTCTCATCTGGGCCATCCAGCTTTTAGCTCCTGGCATTTCCCTGCTTTGCTTCTCCAGCTTTGGCTCATCCTGCCCACAGCATCTCTGATGAATTCACTCCCTGCAAAGGACATTTTAAATCAGGGCCAGACACCTCAGCCACCTTCTTAGGTTGATTCTAGCCCTGTTATTCTTCTGCCCTAGTGCAATGCTGGCTTCTGTATGGATAGTGTTTCAGGTATGAGTGTATATGGGCTACAAGAGGAAAGACATAGCACCTGTTAACCTACAGTCTGCCTCTGTTATACCCCAGAGCCTGATGGGTGCTCTCCCTCCAAAACTCCCAGGACAGGCCTCGTGGGGTGGGTAGGAGGGGGACAGTGTTCCTCTCACTTTGCCCCTCCCTACTTCTCACAGCTTGGGGAAGACTCTGACTATGATAAGCTGAGCGACATGGTGAAATACCTCGACCTGGAGCTCCACTTTGGCACCCAGAAACCTACTAGTGAGTGGGGGAACCCAGATGCCAGTTCTTCTGTAGAAGCCCACCCACTGCCTTCTGTGGCACCCGGCCTTAAAGTTCCCGAGGTCTGCACTCTCACTGACTGACTGTACCACTGAGTTGTGTGACTTATCAAAACCCCCAACAGAGAGAGTAACCACAGCTGGCATTTATTGCATGCTTGCCAAATGCTAGACACCCTCATTTCAAAATTAATCCCGTGACAACTCTCTGAGGTAGGAACTGTGATTCCCCCAACTCGCTGATAAGAAATCACAGAGAGGTACGTTATTTGCTCAGAGTCACTCAGAGACAGTCGAGAGGCATGCACAGTGTCCCTTCCAGTCTTGCCCACCCCGGGTGCTCCCTATAGATTTTGCCCTCCGAGCAGAGATTATGTGGAAGGTGGTCCAGGATGGAGGTAAAAGACCTCTGTCCATCCAGGAAGCGACTGAAAGAGTGAGAGGTGGGTGGTTCTCACTTGTCCAGCTCTGTGTCAGTGACTTTGGGGAAAGGCTAGGGGAGGGGTGTCACATGGGCCAATATGCCAAGTATTTTGACTGGACCTGAGATGACAGAATGAGGGTGTGTGGTCGCCTGAACTTGATTCAGTCCCTGTTATGGGAAGGGGCGTGTCTAAGTTGTTGCTGTGGTCACGCTCCTCCTGGCCCCCACGGGCAGCCACCCCTTAGCCTCTCCTCACTAAACCATCAGTTTCTCTTTCAGAGCCGGTGCCCCGGCCTGAGCCCTTCAGGAAGAAGGAGGTGGTGGAGATCCTGTCTCACAAGAAGGCCTACAACACCTGTGAGGGGCCGGGAAGTTCAAAGGGTTGTGGGGGGCAGGAGGCGACCCACTCCTGGGCCGCAGGTTCTCGGATGCGTCTTGGTGGATTAGGTGTGGGGGCCCTGGCACCTGCCGCCAGTCTAGGTGAAGACCCCCTTTCAGGTGCGGCTGCCAGCCAAATCCCACCTGGGCGAGGAGGCTGGCCTCGGCCCCGCCCCGCCC